TTTTCCACTGCTTACCCATGGTTTAAAACAGTAGATATTCCAACATGAAGCTGTTTGTTCGTTCTTAAACATTCATTCTCTACATGAAAAACATTATGCTCCAAGGAATTCGTAAGATATTTACATGTAGGGAAAAGTCCAGTCAATTTCAGTGCCTGTCCCCATATTCCTATACTGAAGAGAGACTTATATATTCTTATTTTTATTATTTATGTTTATATGCCACCTTTTTCCTTTCAAGGTACTCAAAGCAGCTTCCACAATCCTCCTCCTCTTAATTTTATCCTCAAAAGAACAGTGCAAGATAAGTTAGACTGAGAGTTGGAGACTGGCCCAAAATCACCCAGTGAGCTTCATGGCCAAGAGGAGACTAGAACCTAGATCTCCCAGGTGCCAACCAGCACTTTAACCACTACACTAGCTCTAATATAGTATGCTGAACTTACAAGGAATGTACCTAACATAACCATAACAGTCCTATGCATTTTTAGATAGAAAAATATTTCCCTGGGGATCCTGTTAGTTGTGCAACACTCTCCCCACCATCTAAATATCCATTGAATTGTAGCCTTAAGCACTTAGCTCAGGGTGGCCTGGCTCGCGGGCAACATGCAACCCCTGATGCTACTCAGAGCCCCCCATCACCCCCCAGTCCAGATTCCAGCAATGGCACGGGCATGATTGCAATGAGCTCCCCCCAGGCTGCCAACCTGTCCCACTGTCTTCCTGAGGCACAGGAAGAGAGCGGGTCATGCTGGTGGCCTTGGGAAAGCTTGCCCAAGCATGCCTGGTGCCACTGTGGCTGATGAACATGAAGGAACTCAGGAAGTGTGCATTTGTCAACAGGAGCAGGCAGGGCATGCTGGGAAGAGTGTGTTGGCCCAAGTGCAAGAGGCTCAGTATGCTAATTCCAAGAAGGAAGGATGGGCCAGTGGGGTCACATGGGAGGGTTTCCAGGTGGGACAAACAGGGAAGAAAAGTCATTGTGCTTAGGCTGTGGTTGGAGAAGGAGCTGCCTGTGATCTCTGCAGAGATCACAAAGCGTTCTTTTTCATTCAGTTAGTACTAAACTCATCTTAAAATTAATTCTCCCTCATTTAATGGTCAATCAAATACATTAATTGTGTATATTAAATATAATGCAAATACTTAAAATATGGAAAAATTTTGCATTGTATGGCCCCCAGGTTCTGCAGTGAAGTCCTCATGTGGCCCACAAGGTACGAAAAATTCTTAATGCATCTCAGAGTCTGCCTTTGAAACTTCACACTTTAGTTGACCCATGCTCTAGTTAAGAGTTTTTAGTGAAGGCTACCCGACATGCCTTGAAGTTCAAATTATTCTTTCCAACAACCCCTGCAGTATTAGTCCTGCAGTGTGCAGTGTGTGGGGATGCAAAAGAAAGATAAAGGAACATTCATGCATGGGAACACAAGATAAGACCTGTTGTTTTGTGATGTATCTTCCTCCTCCCATCACAAAACTGAATGGTAAAGGCAACAGGTTTTTAAATAATATGTGTTTGTAGATGCTGAATATTTACGAAGCACACACATATCTTAAACAGGAGGCTGCAAATATAAACAGACCTTGGTAATTCAGTGGAATCAGCAAATCATAGACAAAATAAAAATCTCATAGATGTGCCTTTCAGTAGATGTACGTGTTGGTGTTATCTGGTTTCACTTTTCAGACACTTTAGTATGACTTACTGGATTTCTTAAGTTCCAAAAGGCACGAGTAATGTAGATTATTAGTGAACTTTTATAGTGCAGTAAAAGAAATTAATAGACTTGGTTTCCCTTTTGAAATCTTACTGTGCTTCTAATTCTAAAAACATGTTATGGCCTTTTCATTCCCCTAACCAACCCCATTTCAAAAGTCAAGCATGTTAACGGGGTTTATTCTGGCCTGATCAAGAGTGTCTTTTTTTTGTTGAAACTTCTGTCACTGTAAAACACAAATGTACATAATCCCACATATATTTTACTTCACAAACACTAGACCAACTTTAATTTTAACAAGACATTGCAGACAAAATTCTTGTTCCAACTATAATGACATAAATAAATAAATTGTGAATTTCTCTACTGCCACTTAGCCATAAAAGGCTCTCAGGGCAGTTTACAACAACTAAAATACAAGCTACATAAATACAAGATGCATTAAAGTGCAGTATAAAACAAAGCACAAAAACTGAAACCAGAACAAAATAAAATCAGCTACATGAGAAAACAAGCACAAAAATTTACCAAATTTATCAAGTTTCTAAAATGATAGCAGCAATACAGAAGAATTAAAATGAATCATATGCCAGTGTCCTAAGTATTTAATTTGTCTATTTGTCTAATTTGCATTTTCTCCAGAGTTCAAAATAGTGGAGCATTTGTTGAAGGGGTTGGGAAAATGCCAACCCCATCAATACCAGTGGAGCAAGGGTTTGTCCTGCTTCTAAAACAGCATTCTGTGCGTCTCCCGAGGGCAAGTTTGGTATTTACTGAGCAAGATCAAGAACTGAATGTGCATGTTACCATAGGGAATGTAGCAAACCCTTGGAAGGCAGCCCCTCAGCCCCAAAGAACGCAGTGGGAAATCTTGCTTAAGGAGAATGCGTAGTGGCTGCTGAAAAGTGCTGGTCATACAGGAATCTCTGGATCCCAGCAGGTGTGAGATTCTGACCAAAAGGTCAGAAAGTGCCAGATGGAAGCATTTTGTTACAGAAGTAGCTCAGAAGGTAAAATTATCATTGCCTATAAACTCCCTTAGAATAAATATGTTAAATCAAGTAATTTGTCCTAATGATTTCAGTAGATCTGCTTTAATTATGATTAAATATATTTAATCCATGATTAAATGGATCCAGCCTCCATAGAGGCTTTGCACTCTTGTTGAAAACTGGACATACTGGAATACTTATGTGTTTGTGTTTTTAAAGAGAAAGTTAAACTATACAGAAGGAATGCTTGGGTGTCCCAGTGCTCCAAGCAGAATGCTTTCCCCTAGTTTTCTGTAACCCTTGCATTAGCATTTGTACATCACATTTAGCCAACTCATACAAATGGGCAACAGTGCATAGCAGCTGGATGTGATAGAAGTAAAGAATGTAAAATTTAAGGTCATACTTTTTTATGTCATTGAAGACAAAGGAGGCATTTACTGTCTGACTAGACTTTTATTTTACTGGCCTAGACATTCATGCAATATGTTACAAAGGCTTTGTTATACCTAAACAATCTGTCCTTGAATGAGAGAAGAGGAAAGCAGGTCAACTTGTGTCTGTCTGTCTGTTCCGCATTTTCCCAGTTACGTGACAAAGCCCAAATTTTCTGTAAAGATCTCTAAACAAAAGAAATGTCTGTGTGTCTTCAGGTAGCAAAATCTGTATTACTGTCTTTCTGAGGTTTGATTCCTCTACCCCATGATTCAACCTTAAGTTAAATAGATATATTTAGGAAGAACACCAGTGCTGAAACAAACCCATATCAAAATCCATTTGGACTTTTCAAAAAGATATTTTGGAGACAGAGCATACATTAGGCAAAAGTTTATCTGGTTTATTTAGACCAAACTGTGTTTTGTTTAGTTTTATTACAAAATGTTATGTATGGCACAGAGTGGGATTGCCAAGATTAGGCCAGAATCTGGCTCTCTTCAGACCTGGCCATGCCACGAAGTGAGCAGAACTGAGATCAAGTCCATGAATGCTCTGGAATGCTAGCTTTTTCTCTGCACAAAGTACATAATCCTATGCACAAAGCCAACAAGGAAGAACTCTGCATAGTACAGCAGGTGTGCAGGCTGTGTGTGTACAAGCCAGCCTCAGGGACACGTGTGGACTTGCTTCTTGCTTAGCTGCCCGCTTACCACAAGGCAGACTTAGAGCACAGAGAAAGTAGGCTGGAGACTGGGAAGCCAAGCTCAGGAAGTCCAGTGGAGTCCCACCTCCAAACCAGAGTCTTCACACACCACGAATGCAAGGCCAGTAATGACAATTGTCCCGAGAATACCACCACCACAGTGAGGCCTAGTGGTGACAGCATCATGTTGTAGTGATGCTTTTCTGCAGCAGAGACTGAGAACTTGTCAGGATTGAGGGTGAGGCGGATCTGGCCAATGCAGGCCAATTGCAGAGGAAAAGCATTTTCCTTGTGCAGGGGACCTGGGACTGGGGTGAAGTTTTGCCTTCAATGAGCAGTGACGCCAACCATACTGAAATGGTTTAAAAACAAGAACCTGAATGTCTTAGAATGTCCTAGTCAAAGGCCATACCTCAGAGTTTGAAAGTTGTTCACCAGCAGTCCTATCCAACCTGACAAAACTGGAACAATTTTTCCAGGAAGAATAGGCAAATGTCAAAACCAGATAGCAAGCTGATAAGAGGATTCACAGGTGTAACTGCTGAAGAAGGGGTGCCAGCTAATGAGCAGCTAATGAGTGCCAGTATCTTTTTGTTTACTATTATTGTACTGCAACAAAAATATGTTGCACCTTCCCATTGTTTAGTGTTTTATATACATTTCAATTCCAGTTTGCAACCAAACAAAGAAAATCCAAAGCAGGGTGAATATTTCAGGGCATTGTATGTGTAAGGCACAAAATTTTGCAGAACCAGTATCTTTGCTGCTACATGAAAAAAGTCTCAAATGAAAATACTTCTAGTATACATTTGTTCATCCCTACCAATGGCTTTTTATTTTATTTTTTATTAAAATGAATTTGGTTGGTTGGTTGGTTGTTTTGCAGATATCTGAATGAATCAATTCCTGTTCATGACATTGTAGCTAATACATTACAGCTCATGTCTTCTGATACTTGACTTAGCAATCCTACCATAGACTCTCTTTCAGAGTACTATTGAACTGATTTCTCCTAAATTAATAATTTCAAGTTTATATTGAATATAGCATTCACACTCCTTTTCTCATCCTTTGATACTCTTCTGGTTTAGTAAACACAGAACACAGAGAATCTCATCTTGGCTCATTGTGTTTTTCTATTAGGATAAGAAGTCTTATTTGGATGTCATTCACACCTACACAGAAGTCCATGGAACTGTTCATGGGACAAGTACCATCTACATGCCAAACTATGTTAAAAACCATGGCATCCTCAGTGGCCGGGATTTACAATTCCTATTAAGAGGAACAAAAGTAAGTATGTCGTTGAAACGAGTATTTTCCTTAATGTAAATGTGAATAACCCAAATTGCTTTACTTCTGTTTTATAACCCCACAGGTGTCTGATTTCTCTCTGCACAGCCCTCTGTTTGACTCTTGGTTACTCGTGCTCTCTTCCCCTCCCACAGACATGCCTGAAACACAGTTGTAGCAGTGTCCCCAGGTACCAGGACCCTGTGCAAATTCACCATCATGTAGACTTAAGGCGCTATGAGAAAACTATGTGCCTAGAATGCTACTGTATCAGTTTTCTGATGACGTTGGTAGGAACAAGAGACATTTTCATTTGCCGTCACAATTGCACAGATAAGAGGCTAAAGCAGGGTTCCCCAGCCCAGTCCCTCCAGGTACCACTGTACCCACAAAGAGATCCCAGTATGGCATCAATCTTTTAAAAATCTTTTAATATTTTTGATGCACATAAATAGATTGCTGTGAAATGCAGACAACTTTTCAAGAAGTACATATAAACTTCAATAACAGCAGTCCAAATATCCAAATAAATCTCTTTTTCAAGTTGGTGTTTATATGCCACCTATTTAAATATTGAAAGTGTTGAAAGCCCTGCAATCTATTGCATCATAGGAGGTCTGTGTTTATCCTGCCAGAGTTGTAATTTCATTCTTTTAGTTGTCAAGAGAACACAGAGAATCCATTTCCACAGACAGATGTTAATTTCCATGAAGCAGGTAAATCATTTTCAAAAAGCATGCATACCAGCGAGTACTAAAGACTGTTCTAGTGTACAATTTGTCAATGGTAATCTTCCGCACAAAAAATCCCCAAACAATGCTTGCAGCAGCCCCAAAACATGTGTTTAAAAGAAGCATTAGCTGTATTGTACTGCCACCAATTCACCAAATTAGACAATCTCAAATTAATGAAACTGTGTACCATCCAGCAGAAGCAAAGCAAAAGTATTTGTTGAATAGAACATAATCTAAGATACATAGATGGGACAAGTGGATGCCAAATTGGTACACTACTGAATAGGCATTTTATGGAGTGCCCATAGCATTTTCAAAACTTGCCAAACATGCCCACAGGTCCAAAAAGCTTGGGGACCCTTGGGATAGAGGAACTGAATAGCAGTTTGTACATACTTCCCACTTAGATTCAGGGATGCTGAGAGCCAAGGTGGTCTCTGGAATCTTTGCCATCAAGAAGGAAAGAGTTCAGGGAAAACCACAAAAGTAATTAAGTCTTTTGGATTGATTTGAACCCTTGATGAGCTCAAGGTTAAGCAGAAATAGACCTGCACCAAGAAGAGAACAAACTTAAAATCCAGTGTCCATCACACCCATATATTCCTTTCCAGTTTTGGAGTTTGCCACATTGTCATTTTGATCTATAGCAGTCGGTGGGAGCTTAGGTGGACTCCGGTGGATGGTGGATAACAGGAGAGCCTGGAGGAATGTTGTCCATGGGGTCATGATAGGTCGGACACAACTTCACGACCAACATAACATAAAGCAATGTGGGAAATTTTGATATAAAGCCAAAGAAGACAGTTGCTGGCTGCCAAAGGACACAGTTTGCCATGAAAGAGGGCAATAATCAACTACTGCATTTGCATTGGAAGATTGCATCTGAAAAATATTTATATATTCCATACTAGGCCTTAAGGAAATTCTGTACATGACCAGTGTATGGGATTTTCCAATAATAGTTTTAAAACTTATTTAAACTTGTTTAAAACTGCCTTCAGACAGTTGATTGACAACTTGCTTGTCTTCAGGTAGTTGGAAACAAAGGAGTATCTATATATTATACATAGACAAGTGGTGCTTGAAGAGGAAACCTTTCCAAAACCGATCAAACTTATTAAAGCATTATCAGGCAGTTGAGACCATCTTTCCTGATTTTTCCCATAATTCATACCCTTCCTTCTCATCGGTTTCCAGTAGGACTGTGTAGAAATGTCCTGTGTATATTATTGTCATTCCATAATGTACACTTTTGTTGTCTATGTAAAGTTACAATGCAACGGATAAGAACTAAGTTTAAGTTTTGTTCTTGTTATAGGTATATTTAGTAACATTCTGAAGGCACAGAGAGAGACCGTTGCATAAATATTGTTAGGTAGGGCCTTAATCAGGGAATTAAATCAAATTTGGATTAGCTTGGAATTACAGCTAGATGAAAAAAGACCAAGTGGGAAATGCAGGTTAAGGTATGACTGTTGCCAAGAGTTTGGTCAAAGTCTGTGGACAGAGAGGGAGAAAGTTTGCTGGTTGCTCTGTAGTGTTTGAGAAAGCTGAGGAGAAAGGGGAAAGTTATTCTTTCTCTTTCGGATAACTTTATGTGGCTGGGGAAGACCAGGAGTAGGGAACAGATGGGTTTGAGATGCCAAGAGACTTCTCCAAGATCTTGCCAAAGGAAAACTATACAAGTACGGCAATAAAAATCAAGGTAAACCATTCAAATAGCCTGTAATTCAACAGGATAAGCTTGGAGGTCAGTGGAAGATTTTACCCTGAAACAGGACCTGGTTGTAAGTTACTTGGTTAGAATGGATGTTTAGGGAATTTGGTCTGAGGCAAAAGAAGTCCTAAAGGATTGTTACTAAGCAGTCTTTTGAAATCCACAGCCTACCAAATGTTAGCAATTTCTTATATATAAAATATCACATTAATAATTTTCTGGTTTCATTGTTTGATTAGTCTCTGGCATTGGTGCTCATCTTATGTCTAATCCTTTTGTACCACCCCCTTGGATGTTTTAAGGTATTCTAACCACATTTATGGCAGCAAGAGAGGGGTAATTTGTGAAAGCACCACCACCAAGAGTTCCTCAAGCCCTGAAAATACAAGCTTTTGCCATAAATAAGAATCCCTATAGATGAGACTACCCAGTGAGGGAGCGGCTTCCCCATGGGTAGTAGCAAAAGTGGGGAATAGAAATTCCCCGTAAGGATACGGGGCCATCCTGGTGTATGTAACTTAATTAGTTTATAAAAATCAGCCTTTCAGACAAAAAAGATTTGTTTGCTTATGACATTCTGAAGGAAATTTACCTTAAAAGTAAAACAAAACTTATTGTGCTGCCTGTATTTTGAGATAAGTAGCTGAGTAGTGTATTTTGAGGCAAATTTCGCAGTTGATAGCATTACTTGACTGACTGCAGAGGACAGTTGGTGCTGTATTTATTTTTGTGGGGCAACAGAAACTCCCTGTGGTGTTGAAAAGTACAGGCTCCAGGTTCCTTCTTAAGGAGTTCTGTTAAACAAGTGGACAGCACAGAACAGAAGTTCAAAACTTCAGAGGCAAAATGTGAAGAATGCTTATCTACCCAACAGTAGCATTTCCCATAACTAATTAGAACCGGGGCAGTGCTGAATTGTTGGTGAAATTTTAAATCCTTTAATTAATGATTCAGCCATGTTTCTGTTGCAGCTAATTAAAAGATAAAATATAATTGCTTATCAGACTCTATCTTTTTTCTTTTTTTTTTTCTTCATTCAGAAGTGAATTGCATTCTGCTTCATAACTGTTTCTTAAAGCTACTTGTGAGATGGTGTTTTGAGAGAGAAAACTCATAATAAACTTTGATGTGCCTATCAGTTCTGCACGAGTTTTGTTTGGGAGGTTTTCTTTTCCTATTTTCAGTCTGCCTTTCTCACACTCTTAAGAAAAGGCACTCCATTGTAAGTGTTGTTGTTGTTACATTGCATTCCTACCCTGCCTGCTTCCTCTCGTGAGGAATATCCTCTTGCAGCCAGATGGAACATTGGTTTGCTTCTCTTTGAAGAAGTATATTCATAACCTGTATGATTTGCTGCCTGCATACCCATGGCTTTTGCTCTTCAGAGTCATGCCCACAAATGTCTGCTTAAGTCTTTAAACTTAATGCTAAGCAGTCCATGCCAAGATTCACTTGGGCTTAAAGTTTACTCAGTGCTCAAATGGCAGGGAGGATTCTGAGATCTCTGGATCAAGGTTTACACTCACCTGGCAGATTCAGATGACCAGTGTTTTCCCCAGAGTTCCCAATCTAGTAAGTCCTGTATTCAGGACTTACTCTGGATATTTAGGAACAGTGATGCTTTTAATACTTCTTTAATTACAGAAAATGCCTAGAAGAAAGTAGCTTGAGTGATACATGGAGCAGTGTACAAGAAATAACTCCTGTATATCATCTGTTTGAAGTGTGGTGCTTCTTTCAACTCTCCTAAGATATGCAAAACAATTTGTAACAATAGCCTTTTGATATACCTTTTCTTTAGCACTGCTGCTGTGAGCTAAGGGCACATTTCTACGTACTTTGCTGCCACCTGCTGTTGCTAATTGGACAGCTCATATGTGTGCCCAGCCATACCACTTAACCAGCTACTCTGTGTGCTTAAGCCTTTTGATTGTAATCAGATGTACATGTATAAGCTAAGTGTCTGAGTGGTAATTATGATTAAGCTGTTTAATAATCAAAGATGTATTGTTTCTCTAAGCCAGGACCTAATGATGGCTTTATTGTTTTAATATTAATTGTATCTATAAAAACACTTTTATACCATTGTTTGGCCGTAACAAGGCACCCAGACTGATTTGCATAAAAGAAGAAAAACCTACCAAAGAAAGAAATAGAACTAAATCCTTAAAATTGAAAGGGAGAGAAGAAGCACCTTCAATTAAAAAAAAAAAAGCAAAGCATAATTCAGCTTTTCCACTTACTGCTTCTACTGTCAGGGATGGGGTTGGTTTCATCATCTTGAGGTGCTTTCTTAGAAAGGCAGTCTTGCATTCTAACCGGCTCATCTTGGGGGTAGGCTATATGATGAGGTTGGGCTTGCTGCCTAGGATATATTCAAGTTAGTAAATTACTGAATAGATTAGGAATCAAGCAGATGTGTCACCAAGACTAGGGGCTTGCCTATCAAAAAGCAGCAAGAGTGCTTTCCTCTAATTGTATCTATTTTATTTTATTTATTTAAAACTTTTCTATACCATCCCATACTTAGACGTCTCAGGAAGGTTTACAACAAATTAATTCTAAAAATAGAAATGAAAATAACAGTTGTCCACCATCCAGCGTTAAAATATAAACCCACTAACTAAAACAAGTTAACAATTAAAATACTGGAAGAATAAAAAGGTTTTCACCTGACGCCGAAAAGAATGAAACATTGACAGAGGCGTACCTCTCTAGGGATAATAATGGAAGACTATCTAACTTTCTTCTCTTGTTCCATTGTACTTCAGGCTGGAACAAATCCTAAAAGGTATATTGTGGTTTTTTCCCCCTACTTTCTCTTTTTCTATACAGAAAACTATGAAAATGACGAGTACTGTATAAGATTTCATTTTCATTTTTTAAAAATCATTCTTAATTCAACGCATTACATTAAGTATATTCTTCATATGTCGCGCACCTCTTTTAGTAGAGTAGCAGGGTAATTTTTTAAAAAGGTAAAGATAGTAGTTGGCTTGTATTCCATGAGCAAGATTTCCAAGATGACTTTATTGTTTGTCAAAAGAGTGTCCCTGCTCTTCATCTGTTTATTTTCCCCACCCCATCTCTCTCACTCCTGCCCATACTGTTATCCATCGCCATGCATAATTCTATGCTTCCCATGTTGGCTGCTGGGCATATTAAGAAGGACTCCTTAAAAAGTAACTGAAAATGATGGCCAAGTAGGAGAGAGGAAGGAATTATTCTTTTTTTTTTTTTTTTTTAATTTTAAACCTAATAACCTTTTTTTTTTTTTTTTTTTTTTTTTTAATTTCAAGCCTCATATCCTTCTTACTTGTCCTTACATCTTTGTTAATTTTTTAAAGCTAAATTTTGGACACGAGAAATCCTATTTCTACATTTATACATATAGGCATGTTGCCATTGTGCACATTCATGACATCTAGACAAAACTGAAGAAAGATTAATTATATGAGTGGTTTTATTTTTCAGCTGTTTGTTGGTCTTGGTTTTCCATATGAGGGACCTGCTCCTCTAGAAGCCATTGCAAATGGATGTGCATTTTTGAATCCAAAGTTTAATCCACCCAAAAGCAGCAAAAACACAGATTTCTTCAAAGGGAAGCCAACCCTCCGAGAGGTAAGCTCTTAGTACCCGCATTCACAGGTCCTGTTGTTAGTGCTCATTTTTTCATACTGCTGCTTAGATATGTGAGCAGTATGTCTTGCACCAAAGCATCACATTTTACTGCTGTTGTCATAGCATGCTGTTGCCTGAAATGATTGACTTCAAGCTATAGCAACAAAAATTCCTGCTGTTCTTTACACTTAGAAAATGTGCATGCAATCAAATTCATGCTCAGATCTCCCAGTTTGCTCCACTCTTGAGGAGAGTATTAGTGTGTAAAGGAAATGTAATTTGTGTAATTTTGGTAGGTTAATTTCTTAGTTTTGCACATTTCCAACTTTTCATGCACAGTTAATGAAGTATCTTAAGCTCTCCCAAGCTTTCAAGAAGAAAAATGACAACAGAAAAAACAAAAAAAAAAGGCCACTTAAATTATTTTGCTAGACCTTGTTCTTCATCAAGGGAATCTGCTCTCATTCCATTTCCTCTTTTCACCAATGCCACCTTCCAGCTTCTGTATATTCCTGCATATTTAGAATGTAATATGGTCACCACCTCCCAAAATTTTATGCCAACCATACTAGCTTATTAAAGAAGTTACACACAAATTGTAACTGTGATTCTTTTTTATAATGAAATTATTTGTTTTTAAATCTATACTGAAATTTATTTGTTCGGCTATTTTGGCTCCTCTTTGGGTGTTAACATAATGTTTAAAAAAGACAGTGTTGGAGTTAGGCATGAAAATCATATGTAGTTCTTGGTAGCCTGTTGGTAGTAAATTGGAACAAAGTAAGCATTCTTTTCAGAAACCATCTGATGCCAGTAACCTGTTTAATGGCATTTAAAAGGTACTTTCACCCTGGAAGGAAAGTGTGTTGCAGCAAAAGCAACAAAGAGTCTTGTTGGGTCTTAAAGACAAATTTATTTTGACTTAAGTGTTCATGGTTGCATTGGTTGTTTTCCTTCCAAGTTATATAACAGCAAGAAGAATTTACCATGAAAATACACTGTGTGGTGGCCTCATAGTCCAGAAGAGAAAGCGAGGGAGCTCAGGTCAGGTTCCTCCTCAGCAACCACTGTGCTATGTGGTTTTCTATATACTCCATTTTCTTAGCAAGATAGTTCAGAATAATGAACCAGCACAAATGGTTGGTAAGAAAGGTCTGTTTCCTGAGTATCTGTCGCTGGGCAGGGACCAAGGCCATGGCTTGACTTTTCTTTTACATTTGTCAAATCCACCATTAATCATTTTGAGCATGGCAGTAGACAAATTGTTGATCATCCAGAATTGTAAGTCTGTGCACATAGCATTACATGGAAGAGGCTTTTTAGAAAAATGAAGGTGTCAGAAGTAAATGTGGACAATTGAATGAGTATATTTGAGTTAGTATAAGAAGAAAGGATTGGGGCATATTACTTGTTCCATGTCAGTGAATAATATAAGACTCTCACAATAGCTGTGTGTGCATCCATGAGAAAGTTGTATTAACAGGCAAGAAGGTTTGGAACAGGATGTTCGAGGGGGATCAGTGTAGGTTGGTGTTATGAACACTCTTTCCTTTCCTTTGGAAGAGAAAAATATTCCAAGCATGCAAAGAGTTCTTTTTAAAACTTTATTGCAACAAAGGGAACAGAAAAAAATGGTTTCCTTCCCATTTTCCTGTTCACCTGAGCACATGTTCACATCCCCTTTTTATGCTCTGCCCCCGGCCGCTTCTCCCTCCTCCTTTCCCCTCTTTGGCTGGGGTACCGGGAGTTTACAATCTTTCCGTCCGCCTACTCTGCGTTGCTCTAACACTGGCCCTTCTTCCCAATTCAGACCTGCCCCTGGTGAGCTACAATAGGCTCATTTTGTTCTGCCCAGCTTGTCAATAAATGATCAGGAAGTATTTGGCCCTCCTGCCTACGTGCCTGTTTCCCCACGCTTTGTGCTACCTGATTTTAGCCCCTCCCCTCCTTTGGGCTAAGTAATTTTCTTTGTTACCTTTTAAATCTTTCTACCCACTTGTTTCAAATCATCCTTCCACACCTGTCAGTTGGGATAGTCCCCAAGGAAGCAATTTCTGCTCAGAAAGCAAACAGAATTAAGGATCCAGAAAAGGTACAGTGAGCATGATGTCCTTAAAGATGACGTTGCCTGTGTTCCTTTCAGTTGACATCTCAGCACCCCTACGCTGAAGTCTACATTGGGAGGCCTCATGTTTGGACAGTAAACATCAATGATCTTTCTGAAGTGGAGAAGGCAGTTAAAGCAATTCTGAGTCAAAAGGTTAGAAGGCGTTTTTCCCTCTCTCTGTATTTAGTGCCTAAATGTGAAATGAAAACATATGGCTGTAGGGAGAGCATTAAACGTGTTCTGTAGGAGCTATAAATTATCAAAGAAAAATAAAGCATTCCAGATTTATTTATCTATTTATTTATCTGCCTGCCTGCCTGCTAGCTAGCTACAGTGAGGTAGTCTTTCAAACACAGACTAATCTTTTTGTTTTAAGCTTTTCCTAATGAACATACAAATTTATATATCCTAAAAGCACATGGCATACAAACATCTAGTTACACAATTTCAAATGATAACAGGACTTAAATCCCCTTTAGGGCTATAAACCAAGCAAGATTGTTCAGTTAATTTCTTTCATAACCTTTTCAAGACTAAAGCTACACCTGTGGAATGTTTACTCTTGGCTGGATTCTTAAAAGGGGTAATTGCCCCTTTGAGCAAATGCTCATTCTGTATAACTGGACAATCATATCAGCATATTGGAATTTATTGTACCAGGGGGATAATGTTGCCTTATCAGTCCTGAATGACTAAGTTGCCTGACTGTGGTTTTTAAATATATGTGCTGTGAAAACCATAAAGATAGTTCCCTAGTTATACAGATAATTTAATTAAAAATACGGGTGGAAAGTCCTATATGGTAAATGTTGCTGAGTGATTTTGTTTTCTTTTTGATTCATAGTGGTGAAATGAAAAAAGTCATTGATCATTGTCACTATTTACAGTTGAACTTACTAAGACACTTAATATCCTTAACAGATTGAACCTTACTTGCCCTTCGAATTCACATGTGAAGGAATGCTGCAGAGAATGAATGTGTTCATAGAGAAACAGGTATGCTCTCCATATGAATAGACAGTTGCTTTATGTCTAATAGCCATATGCTCCAAATGAATAGGCAGACTTTTTTCATAAGCCACCCTTTTTCCAGTATTAGCGCTCAGCAGTGATACTTGTAGCTGTGAACAACTTGACAAAGGACGTCTTCTAAGTTTAGCATTTTGTTCTTAACCATTTATCAGTCTCATAATATTATTAATGGTACTTCAATAAGAAGTAACAATAACATACAAATATCTGAGGGAGTAATTGATCAGTATAGTATGTCCACATTTCTTATCTAGAATAATTTCCAACCAAAATGTCAGTAAGTAGAACAAAATTCACTTAATCCGGTCTGTTCCATTTACTCTTCCATAAAGGAATAAAATTAAACACAAAAAGCAAACAATAATGTGTTTAGGAACTCTGCAGTATTTACATTACCAGAAATACTCCTAATATTCTAGAATTCATCATAAAATTTTAATAAATATTTCTATTTCTCAAACATTAAGCATTTCAAAACTGGAATATTCTATCCTGAATATGTACAGTGCAAAGAAGACAGCGTATATCCCACATGTACTTGCCTGTACAGCAGGACTTTCCTGCTTGAAACATAACTGATACAATTAGCAAGACAAAACCAGGATATTAAATTTTCATATTCGTATCAAATTAAATGTGTATCTATTAAATCTGGACCATTTCCTTAAAATTGAGAAAATATTATCAGTTCTCATATAAGTGTCATCCAATTTCCTCCTATCACTTCTTCGAATAAAGTCCATTATTTTTGCCCTTTCTGCACTGTGGCAAATCTTAAGTAATCATAATTTTACGTAACAGGAGTCATACTCATTCAGGCTTGCACAGAATTCTGGACTATATTCACTACTTCTCCATTTTACAACATCAATATTTTTGCTTCCATTAACAAATTCCAAAGCATCTTCAGGCCATCTCATTATGTTTTTCCTTTCCTCAAAATTTTCATTTCCTCAAAATTAAATGGTAAATGCATTAGGGAGAACAAATGCTTGGGTTACAAAATATGTGTCATTGTTGTCGTATCTTAATATTAGAGAATATTAGCATGCCAATGATGTGTAGCACCACTATGTTTGAGTGATATTCACAAGAATTGTGCAGAATAATGCTGGAGTTATGCAGAGGAGAATTCTAATTTTGAGCATATATGGTGGACTTCCTCCACCTCTACTAATGGTTGCTAATGTTAACCATTAATAATGTTATCTGGTTACATAAAATAGGGAATAATTTTGAGCTTGTTTCCATTCTTCCAGCCATTTCTAACATAGCATTGAATCCTTCTGTCACTGGGAGAGTTTTGACCAGTGGAGCTTTTCCTGTTGGCTGATTGGGGGTTTCACTGTTCTGCTCCTCTCCCTGTGGTCTCCTTCATGTGTTCCACAGCTTTGGGGTGGAGGCTCCAGATAAATGGGGGAAGTGCAAAGGAGGGACGAATCAAGAAAAATCATCTCCCTACCACCACACACACACACACACACTTCCTTCTTTGTGGTCTCTGTGCATTGCATATGTGAAGTTTGTGCCAGCGTGGAGCCTCTTGTTGGGAAAAATTTATAGCTAAGCACTCAGTTGGGCAGGAGCCTTTCCCCTTCCTGTTCTGTCTTCCCACAACAGGGGCTCCTACCCATTCCCTTAGTTCCTTTTAAACTGCCATTGAGCCTGAGTAAGTAAGTGTTTCTCTCCTCAACTCATATTGTTTCATCATTGTTCAACTTTTCTCTTACCCTCTCTAAATATGCTACCTTCCTTCTTCATGATTCTCCTTCACACACCTGTTTCCTTTTTTTAGTCTTTACCAAAACAAAAACAATTCTACAGAAATATGTATTTCTTTCTGCCTTTTCTTTCTCCACCTCTCATCACTTCCCTTATCAAGTCCCTCTTAGCCTCTGTTCTTTTCCACCTTCCCCGTCTACCAAGATGGCTGCAACGACAGCATTTAGAAGTTGTGCCCAATGTGTTACACAAGACTTCAAATGAGGCTGCTGCCGCTCTGGTTCATCAACATGTTCCATGCAGCAGACAACACACATAGGGCACATTTCAACATCCACTGCATCCGCCCAGAGCAAATGTATTGGGATTGAAAGCCCTCTGCAACAACTTCCAACCCCAGAGGAATGGAATCCACCAGGAGTGCAGCAAACATCCACAAGCCCCTGATAGCCTTCCAGTTGTCCCTGCATGGGCACCACATCCAGATAGTCATGGACAACACAAGTGTGGTATTCCACATCACTAAGTGGGGTGGCATATGGTCCATCCTGCTGGTGAAGCTGGCCATCAGGATTTGGGACTGGTGCATCAGTATGGATATCCCCCTCAGTTAATCTGTTCGCCACGGCCAACAACATGCATATACGAGTTTCTGCTTTTCAACAAGGCAAGGGACTGGCTCCATTCCTCCTCCAGTGGTGGGGGACTCTATTCTACATCTTTCTCCCCTTCACCCTGATCATGAGGGTGCTTGTGAAGATCAGGAGCAAACAAGATGGACTTTGTCTTGATCACCCCATGGTAGTTGAGACAACTGTGATTTGCCCAGCTACTGCTGCTCTGCCACAGAACCTGCCAACAAGAGTATTCTGAACTCATAGTACCATGTATTTTCTTTTTGTCTCATTTAAATTGCATATAAAATCCTCAAATTTTTGTTAAGTCTGTCCTTATCATCCATCAATATCTGATTTCAGACCTACTTAATTGTCTTCCTCTACTTCTTTGAATATTATACAATTTCTACTGTTCTGTTACCCAAGCATAATATAGTGATAATACAAAATGCCAACTGTGAATTCTCTACATTTCCTACATTTACCCCAGACTTCGAATGTTGCCTGCCTTTAAACATATATTGGGTTTAAAAAAAAATCAAAAGATTGGGCATATTTGTAATAAGTAGGGGCAAATTGAAATGGAACCCTAATATAAGTTTTGTCAATACATCACATGTAGACTGGAATCATTACGCAAATAGCAGGCTACTTTTAACTGATGTACATATCATACTCTTTTGATGCATTTCCCCCTGGAGAAACTTATGTAATAATTTCTGCCATTTTTAAAGTCATGGAACAGATTAAGAGGCATCAGTGGCCGGGTTTGCACATAACACTGATCCATTGTATGATTTGTTGAATTCTGGATTATTGCGCTGTAAAAACTCAGCCGTAGTAATATAACATGGTTTGTTGACCATTAACTCAGAAAGAGAACCCACAGACCTGTTGGGTTGTTTAAATCATGAGGTGTTGCTACTTTTGAACCCAGAGGAAAGGGTTGTTCATAGGCTGTATCAATAATGCACAAAGACTGTGGGCAAGAGTGGTTAAAAAAGAAAAAACTTTTCTACATGCCAGCACCACAAAGGCATTTAGGATACAGGAAAGGAGCGGGTAAGGAGGGAGGGAAGCCAGGGACTGAGAGAATAAATTGTAGTTTGTTCAATAATTTGCCAGACAAAGCCTAGGGATGGCAGCACACAACAGGTTTATTTTATGCATGAATCAAGTCAATAGCAAATCTTGGCATGATATTCATTTTAAATATAAATATTCTTCCAGTCCACAAAATGATCAATGATTTACAAGTCTCCATACAATATATATAATTTTTTAATTAAAAAGGGTCACATAATTCAAAACTTCAAAATTTCTATTCTTTTGTAAAGAAAAATGTGAAGTACCGCAGACATTAGTTTAAGGTTTTAACGTGCAAAGTCCTTCTAATGGTATTCTGCTACTCGTTAGGCAAGTAAGGGAGCGATGCTGTGGTCCCTAAGCAGCAACAGAGAACCCACTGGATAGTTTGGATTCTGGGATGTGAGACAATGCACTGACCTCAGGGCTTGGAATGGGTGCTCTGCCCCCAACCCAACCCTCTCCCTGCCAGACACGGAAGGAACTGTGCCAGCTGCAGCCTGAGCTTAGCAGCGCTACAGCCTCTCTGGCCTCCATTCCTCCCCGTCTGAGAAAAGCCTGTTTAGCACAAGATGTAGGGCAGGAGGACAGGAAGGTAAAGAGCTTCTGCGGCTCCTCCCACTCTGCACTAGGTACCCATAAGCTTCCAAGTTCAGGGCCTTCTGGGCATTATGATAGAAGTCCTTATCTTGTAATAATGAACATCTTATAATGAACATCTTAGGAGAAGAAGGAAATAAATGGATGCTATTGTTTCTTCAGCTATTTTTAAATCTATGTCATTTTCAGCCTGCAGAAAACTTTGTATGTACTGAAATGACAGGGGAATGCTTCCTTCAGTATTAGAAGCCAGCAGAATTTTAACTAAAATAAAAAACCTTGTTTTACAAAGTAGTGCATAGAAGAATAACTATTGCCAATAAGTATAACTCAAGTACTGTGGACCTTGGCTCACGAACTTAATCCGTTCCAGGACTCTGGTCATGACCCAAATTGGTCGTGAGCCAAGTTGAATTTCCCCATAAGGTTCAATGTAAAGAAGGTTAATTCGTTCTGTAACTATTTTTTTAAATCAGAAAAATGTGAAGCAAAGTGACGAAGAGCAACAAAGATCGTGGCCATCTCCCCCCCAACCCCGCGATTTTGCCCATCATCCCTGCACTCACCCATCATCTCGGCGTGCTGGCGGGGGAGGGGGAGAGAGGCGCGAACGTGAGCACCTTGGGTGGGGGAGATGGACGCAATTGTGCTGTGGGGGAGATGACCGAGATCGCGATTGCGCTCTTGCAGGAAAGATGGGCACAATCATGGGAGTGCACATGCAGGAAAGACGGGCGCGATCATGGCATCTCCCCCTGCCCCCAGCACTATCGCGCCCATCTCCCCAGTTGGGGAGGGGGTAGAGAGATGGCTGCGATCGCGGTCACCACCTAATGCAGAGTTCGCGACCTGAGTCAAAAAATTTATGAAATGTTTGTTCACAACCCAGTTTGGTCATGAACTGAGGCGTTCGTGAACCGAGGTACCACTGTATTCATGGCTGCAGGTTTCTTAGGGGATGAAGAAAAATGAATTTCTTACTGAAGCGATTATGGTTCATGTCAGATTGCTGAACCTGCTGCCCTCCAGTTGTTTTAGCCTGCCCTTCCCTTCCTTCCCAGTTAACATAGATGATACGTTTGGAGAGTTCCATGTGTTACAGACTCTTGTCAGCCCCAGGCAGCATGGGCAGTCCTTCCCAGTCCAATCTTTGCCATTGAGCTATAGTATTTCAGTTTATGCCACCTTTTCTGTGACACTACTCTGACTGTGGAACTCACTTGCTCTCCAAGGAGATTGGACTAGCCCCTCATGGCTTGCTTGCTTTGGACAGATTCTTAATGAGGATCAGGCTTTTCTGTCAGTGTTTCTAAAATCAGTGTTTAAATGTGCATTTAAGGGTTAGAATTGAACTTCTGTGGACCAAAAGGCAGTGCAACGCAATTTTAATTAATAAATTGTATTCTGTAATAATACATTTGCATATGCCAGACAAAGGTATGGAAATACTGAACTCAGGTTCTGTCTCTCACTGCTTGGAGATAGAAATGCACCCCTAATATTAGTTGATCAACTCTAAATGACAGGAGGGGGGTTCCCACTTGTGTTCTATCCTAGATAGTGCCCTCTATGTCTGGGTGGTACCTGGGTCTAACTGGGAAGCAGTGGCTGCTGACTCCCGGAGAGTTCACTTTTTGCATTTGTAGATTTAAAGTAGCACATACAGAGAGGTTCCATCCATTGTCTATCTGCTGATATTGCCATAGTTGCAATTATTTTCTCTCTCCACCCTGTTTGCATTTTTTTCTGTGTTCCGTGACACATTTGCATAATGTCCTCCATTGAATCAGGCAATGACAACAGCCAGTGGTGTAACAAGCATCTGCTTCCCTGCAACACTTCCATGTACCTGGATGGGGATGATTTTGTGGTGGTTCAGACTGCATTTTGACTTCTCTTTCCCTAGTTATAAAGCACCTTTGTACAGGCTTGAAAGTTACATATTTTGATATTTTACTGGACTCCCTCCATTCTTTAAAAAGCCGTGATCCTTATTTTCAAATAAGTCTATACTGAGAGTATTGAAAGTGATGGAGTGAAGTAATGTGTTTCTCCGAAAATAAGACCGGATCTTATATTACTTTTTGCTCTAATAGACACACTAGGGCTTAATTTCAGGTGATGCATTATTTTTTTCATGTACAACAATCTACATTTATTCAAATACAGTCATGCCATCTTCTTCTGGAACATCGTCATAACTCTCAAAACCCCAAATTGTGTTGCAATGGACGTACTAAATGTGTCCGTCTGGCTGACAATCTTAACTGGGGCTTATTTTGGGGATAGGGCTTATATTCGAAGCATCCTGAAAAATCATGCTAGGACTTATTTTCTGGTTAGGTCTTATTTTCAGGGAAACAGAAACAATAGGCGCCCATACCATATCAATTATCATCAAGAGGCTCTGCTCCTCTTAGTTGTATATCAATCTGATACAAGTAAATATGGGGAAAGGACAGACATACACCCATTTACAATTGTAGTAGAGGGTTTGTGAGCACAATTAAAATAATTCTAGTTTTCCAGGAAGTCTAAAGTTTAAATGCCTACTACAATTATTTTATGCTCATTGGATAGCCTTTCTAACATACCTGTGACAGTCCAATCTGCCTTACTTAACTGGCAATAATGAAATCACCAAACTTTTTGAACCTATATATGCACATTGTTTAGAGACAAAACAAGCTTGTAAATTTCACAGACAACACAAGATTTCTGGGCTGTGGGATTCATGGTAGTTGCATTGCAGTCGTGATCAAATTACCTAGAAAGTATGTAAAGCTTTTAATAACAATTCTGTTTTCAGTTATCAGTATAAATAATTTATTTTTTCATATATTGTAATGAAATAATCTATGCTCTTTCAGGATTTCTGCCATGGACAAGTGATGTGGCCCCCATTAAGTGCTCTTCAGGTTAAAATTGCTGCACCTGGGAAATCATGTAAGCAGGTTTGTCAAGAAAATCAGCTTATCTGTGAGCCATCTTTTTTCCAGCACCTGAACAAGGACAAAGACCTCTTGAAGTAAGTATTGCAGTCCAGAGGATCAGAAAACCAAGGTGGACTTTTTCCTATGCTTAAGAGTAGACTTTTAGAGAAACTTTGGAATAATGGTGTTTGTCCTTATATTTGTTATATCTGTAAGCATATAACAGTTAGATAAACTAAGTGAACAGTCCTATGCATGTTTAGATAGAAAAATGTACTTCAGCTTCCAGAATTCCCCAGCCAACATGGCTGGCTAGAGGCTGCTGGGAATCATAGGAATTATTTTTGCCATTCCAAGTCATAAAACAGCTTTCCTTCATATTGTACCCAGCTGTTTTGCACATCTTGAAGCTACATCTACTCTTGTTAGCAACTGTCTGCTAAATCCTAGCTTGCTGATAAAGCACACTCACTGTAAAAAAGTCATCTCAAATACATATATTGCACAACATAAAACCATTTTTATGGTGGAATAAACAGATGTGATACTATTGTGGAAAAAGTCCATTATGTTCACTCTTGGATGTTCTTAATTCTAGGGTGGATGTGATTATGAATAAGAGTGACATTGCTGAATCTGCATTTGTATCACCACTGTGTACTTGTGAAGTTCTGCCACTACTTCTTATTCAGTAGCAATTATGAAAATGACTGCCACCTCCCAAGAAATCCAAATCTGTTAATTGACCCTTTCTCAGTACAAGTATGTGGGGCATGCGTAGGATTGTGTGGAAAAACAATGAGTTTGAACTTTTTAACATACTTGGCAGGAGACTCCCAGATCAAAATATAGCATTTATTTATATAGTTGATAATGCTTGCATAGCACTTTATCTTCTAACATCTCTAAGTGCTTCACAATCAATATGTAACAATATGAAACCAATATAAGGTAGTATTCAAAGACTCTGAAATAATAGAAACATAGAAACCGAGCAAGGAAAAGGGGCCACCCAGGCCATCTAGTCTGACTCCTGGTTCCTGCCGGCTCGGCTAGTGAAATACCTGTGTAATGATTTATACTGTTATATTAAAGCCAATAAAAAGTAGTTGTTCATATTCCTTTACAAGCCAAGAAAATCCTGCATAATAGGAAGTGTGTAGGGCTTTTTGTATGTGCAGGATTTACTTGACTTGCAATGGACTTAGCAATGCTTAGCACAGTTTCTGCCCTTTTAACAACATGTAGAGGGTGTTTCAAAGGGTGCATACCACTTCTGACAAGGGTCTGCTTGTGTGATATTACCTGTTGACACTGTTAGCTGAATAACCAGTAAGCACTCCTTGCAAGGTCTCAGGGGTTGACTATATTTTACCAAGATGGTCCGAAGTTGTTTAGGGTAGAACAGTGTTATGAAAATCGCATTCAAAGTTCCTGGTAATTATCTCAATGTCATCTTTGTGTCATTCCACAGCAAAAACAGCTCTAGCCAAATATTGCTTCTATTAATCAGAACTTACTTTGTAACCAAAAAGTTATGATTTTGAGTGACCTCATCTCTTCTGGCTAAGTGAAGTAACACTTTTTAAAATCACTAGGGTTGTTTCCAGACTTATCCTTACTTTAGTCATATATGATCTTAATGCACATTAATTTAAATGAATCTTCATGAAATAGAACTGTTATCTGCATCAGACCCATGGTGTGATTTTTAGCATTCTAACTTTGGAAACTCATAGAATCCGATCAGTGATGAGAATATTTATGAACTGAGGAGCAAGAGACAGCTTCTTGAAATATCTTCTTCTATGTGATGCACTGTGGCAGAGCCGCACTATGAAGTATCTCTGATACATACCTTTGGTGTGATGATTTGGGAGTGATGATACAGGTTTGTGTCTAACAAATGCTAGTGGGAAAACTGCCAGAGGTGCAGTTGTTCTATTAGAATCTTGGTGTTTTGCTGACAATAAAAATAGCACAAACAACACCTACTCTAATGAAGTCATAATGAATTGGGAATGTACTTTTGCAGTCACTTGCAGCAGTAAAATCAAAATGCTGAACTGGACACTTGAGTAGAGATGAAATGGATTTCCTGAAGAGGGAGAAGTTTTGTGCTACTGTAATGCCATTTGATGCAAGCCATACTGCTTCATAACTGTAACTGACCAGATGACATGGTTCACACTGCATTCTTTAATTTTCAGATACAATATTGAATGTCATACAGTTGAGTCTGCAAATGATATTCTGGTCCCATCTTTTGATGAAAGAAGAAAGCACTGTGTTTTCCAGGGTGATCTGTTGTTGTTCAGCTGTGCAGGATCTCATCCAAACCACAAAAGAATCTGCCCTTGTAGAGACTATATTAAAGGACAAGTTGCACTTTGTAAAGACTGTCTATAGCAGCAGCTGACATGACTTTATGGACAAAAAGAGCAAGTGGCCGGGACCCGGCTGCTGCAATCTCTTGCACTTTGCTACTACAGGCAGAACAATTGCTGAAGGGCAGAAATCTTCACCAAGGTGGAACGGAGAAGTGATTTGCAAGAAATCTCAAATGTTTTTTATTTTTTTCGTAAGCAAGCAACTCCAATGAAGCTCATGGGAATTTTTTTCTTTACTTAAGAAGGTGAAGTTCAATACTTTGTACGACGCAAAACAAGAGTTTGTGATATGTTGGGTTTATTTTCCCAACAATTAATTATGATCAACCACTTTTCTGATTACTGTTTCCAATACAAAAGAAAAAGAAAAAAGAAAAAAATGTAGAAAAGATTGGCCAGTGCAGGAAAGACATAACACATATCCAAGGAATACTTTTCTCCCAAACCATGAATAACTGGTGCTGTCCCGGACTATAAGATAACATGGTTACTGAATATCTTATCGATGGTTTCCTCTTTATCTGTCACTTATTGGAGTTCTATGAGTATGGGGCAGGGAGCTGGGGGGGGGGGGGGAGTCTGGTGGCTACCAGTAACGAATCCTTTTGGCTTGATATGAGTGTGACATTCTTCAGGACTTAAATTGCTACATAAGCCTACTATTTAAAATGTTTGGCCTTTTCTAGAATTAAATGTGTACTCTCTTTCCCATTCATCCAAGTTCCGTTGTAGGGTGGTGACTAGAAATACTCTGTGAACATTGAATGCAAAGTGATATCATTAGAGCAATATTTTCCAGAATTTTCTGTGAACAAGAGAAATGGTGACTGCAATATAAAAATAGAAATGAGGCTGTCGTGGAATAATAGCAAAAGAGTGGTCTGTCTTGACATATTTAATGCCTGTTTGGAGATACAAAAATTAATTGCTTTCAGTGAGGAAGACTACTTTTCTCCTGTCTTCATAACTAACAAAAATGTTTATATATGGGTAGAAGCAGGCCATGTGTGTTATAAATTTAAATTAAACAGAAATATGGAACTCATATTTTGTTTGTAGATGGGAGATAACCTCTTTCTTTTTTTACAGGAAGAACTGTACAGTTATCTTTTATTTTGAAACATGTTTTTGCTGCACAACTAATGCATCCTCAAATGCATTTCTTGTAAAAAGGCATTTAACAGAAAAGGAATGTTCATTTTGCAGTGAGGTCTGAAAGCCACCAATGGTTGAGGAGGAAAAAGTCTTGAGTCATTTTCTGTGTCCTGTGTGTGTGTTATTTTCTTCCCATTAAACATTCTTCACTCTTTCTACCTAATAAGGTAATCACACATCTCTGTTCTTTTGCAATGTATCTTAATTCGTGATTTGATATTCACCAATTTACATGGTATTACTTTGTCTTTTTGAGATGCCAAAGGCCATATGGGAAACATAATTCTTTAAAGAAAATTGTTGAGATGAACATTTTTTTAAAAATAATTAAATTCTTAATTTTTAAAATATTACATTTATTTCATTTAAATTTGTGTAAATGTACCTGCAAAAATTTGACTAAGGATCATAATCACAGTCCTGGATAAAATTTAAATAACTGTTTGCTGTTTTAAAAATTTGAAAAGAAAAATGGCTTATCAAGTTTGAAACATTGGCTGGTATCCAGTGTGTTAGTTCTTTGTAGAGTAAACCATTAAGTTTCATTTACTGCAGTGGGTCTAAGCCACATAAGGATGAATTTATTTTATGCATATGAAATTAAAAGTGAATGTTGTCTGGCCCAGACATACATTAGGATGTACTGAGATGGCTTCCAGAAAAGTCTTGGATATTAAATGTAATATTTAATTCCTGAATTCTATCTTTTGTGTGAGAGGATGTCAACTTCAGTCCAACAATCCTAACATAAACCACCCTATTTTTTTATTAATACACCACTATTAAACTATGGCAAACTTACTTGCCACATTAAATTATTTAGTCCTCATGAGGCCAGGATTGCCCATTAAGCTTAGTAATAAAGCACTACCAGTCATGATGGCCAGCAAAACCCTTTGAAAATATTTGTGCTGTGAATAAATCTTTGTTCAAATTAATTTGTCTTTTAGAAATACGGGATAGTTCCAGTTTAGTATTTCTCCTCTGGGCAAGGCTTCTGATGAAACATCAAATCCAAGGGCCAGGTAAATTTTGTGGGAAGGACCGAGTCAGGTCAGGAGAGCATTTCTCCATCACTAGCATGGATTTTGGGTTCCAGTGCTAATTTGTGTGTATGTGTGTTTGCCTTTATACGTCTAGGCAAGCATTTGCTACTTTATTGCTGAAGTCAGAAGTATAGGTTTTTAGCATGGCACGGATCTATTAAGGGCTAATCTAGTGACTGTGTACAGTACACCAGCAAAACAAAGGTTCAGGGAGGGTAAAGCAGCTGGTGAAATGTTATGCTACTGAGGATAGGATCAGACCTTTGATAGGTTCACTCAGTTACGTCATAGTTTTTATGACAGTAATACCCTGCGGATCCTAAAAGAGAAATAAATTTGTCTATTTGGCAAATGCAGCATTTGTTTACTGTAAAGCCTTGGCGATGGAACAAAAACTGAAATCTCAGCTAACCTGCTGCAGTGAGTACAGGCACAGTAGACCTGGCACTTTCCCCAGAAGGCACTTGCATTCAAATGCAGAAGCAAATTACACTTGCGCCTGTAGGCTGGCAGATAGATGTTTAAAGAGTGAGTTCTTAAGATTTAATTCATTAAAGTTATATAAAATCACAGATATTTTGAGGAAATGCCTTCTCTGGTTAACCTGGATCAGTTCCTTAAAGACTACAGGTAGAAATCAGGTGCTTCACTTTTTCAAGAGATCTGAAGGGGATAATTAGGATGGCAAATGTTTTTGTCATAGAATATTCTAGTGCTAGATTTTCAGTTCTGGCAAGTTTTGACTTTGAATAGACTGAGTTGTAATTCATAAATCTCCTTTAAGTAAAAATGATAAGCACTCGTCACCAGAAGCCATGCCTACATCTATCAAAAAATCTTTATTTTATATCCATTGATCTGGTCTTTAAAAAAAATTCTGTTAGATTACCAAAACTTGAGAAAAGTATTTGCATAATTTATTTTTTTAATAACATTAATAAGATTTGCCTTTGAGAGGTAAAGATTAAATACACTGTTTGAAAATGCCAATAAAAACCTCATTTCTTTCATATATGCAAGTTGATTTGCACATCTATAAATAGATAAGCTTTGAGTTTATTTCATAGTTTTAATAGGTTGTCATTTTTGTAGTTCTTAATAACTGTGGCTAGGGGAGGGGATTTTTGTTTTTTGCATGGCAATGTTGAAATATATTCTGCTAATATGCGTGCCTTTAATTTTTATTTTAAATAATAGTGTGCTTGGGATGTGGATAATGACTGAACAACTGTAATGGGACACTAATTTGAAGGTTTCTTATACTTTTTTCATAAATATTAGTTATATGAATTTTTAAAAGCATTTTCTGTTGGAAAATGACAATGGTGTCAAAGCAAACAACAGTTTGAAATGTGCAGCAAGTCAGTGCTGGCTATGGATTTGTGAATTTGGATGTCAGTGTCTGACCATAATGCACTTTTGTGACACATTATTTGTACTACATCTGAGCGGATCAGTTGATCAAGGCAGAGGTTGGTACAATATTTTTAAAGCTCCAAGTGAAAGACAATTACAGTTCCCAAGATCAGAAAATCAGAAATGTAAATTGGCAGCAATTAGTGCTTTGATTTTTTACGGTAGTATAGCATGCTTTTCTACCTGAATTGACACAATTTTTCAGAATAAGCATTATTTAATCATAAATTTTCACAGATTTGGAAACATTCCTGATATCCTCTTGCTGGAACATGAGACATATGTCCCTGCCACTACTCTTGGTGAATAGCAAAAACATCTATGGACACTTCCACTTGTAATGAAGTAATAAAATTAACACTGTCACAATTCCATGAACTTTCATATCTTGGTGGCTGTCTGGTTGTCTAGGAGGGTTTCTGTTTCTCCTTTAAAATACACCCCCCTCCCTTATACATACATGGGGAACAATTCTGAGAGAGCTTGTCCCAGTGTCAGAGCGGTTGAGTGAATTAAGTGAATTCGTAAACAATTTATTTAAATGATTTGAGTAGTTTCTGGAGCTAAGCTTTAGAATTATTTGAGGTACTTTGTTTTGTTTCATTATACAGATTTTGCTTTGTGCACCTAGCATATGAGGTATCTTTCCTTTAACCATTTGTTAAAGAGGTGATATTTTTAAAAAACCCTTCCAAATCAGTTGTAAATGAAATTAGGAATAAAAATGGATAAATTATGTTTTCAGCATAGAAAAACAAGTCATTCTCTTATGGGCTAAGGTAGTATTTGAAGAACATAAAATGGAATAGGGTTCACATAGGAGTATATCATAGCATACAAACCTTAGCGCCTTTTTTAAACATACAAATAGTTATAAGCATTTAGGGAGGTTGTATTCTATGTCACTTGTGGCTCATGGAGCCTGGTGATCCTTTAGAAAAATATCTGTAACACTCAATTTAATTATTTAGTTATTGACACCACCATTTTTACTGCCAATGAATATTAATTTGAATTGTCACCCAGAATAGTACTACACATTGAAACTAAAGGAAAACTGTTTAAGAAGCCTGTGTAAATAAGAGATGTTCAGCTGAGCTCTTGCTACCTTGGGAATGTTCTACCCTTAAAGGTGGCCTAATTAATAATGAATAAATATAATTTTAAAACATGGCTTGTGCTTACCATAAGTGTTAACCCAGAATGTGGATTGAGCTTCCAGAGATACATCAGGAAAAATGCCTCTGAAATGAACTTTACATGTTTATAAACCCACTTCTGTTTCCATGCTGCAGTTCAGTGGAGCAAAGATAAGTTTATTCGGATATATCTTCCTATTCCGTTCATGTCTTTAGTACACATTGTTGTGGGCAGAGATTGGTTTCTAGCAACTGGGAATGAAATGTTCTGTATTCTCACCACAATGAAAGCAACTCAATCTGTAACAAATGCTTGTTATAGGTGCTTGATCTTATTGTTTTAAAACTGGCCATTTTATCAGTAATAGTTAATCAGTTCTGAATAGCTGAATCCCCTTTTTCTGTCATAGTGACCCTCCGTTCATGTTATCAGTATAAATTAAGGGTGATTTCCAATATCCCCTCATTTTCCTCATCATGCAGCCCACTCTGTCCACCTCAATCTACTTTAGAACATGCCCCAAACCTCTAGAATTGATGCGGTTGGGAGTTATGGAGACAATAATGGAGGATGATGCTAGTTAGATACCTACCATAAGATTCATTTGTTCCACCACTGCTGTATGTCTGTCTTTATGTTAGTCTATTAAAACCATATGACATGATAGCCTTCTGTTGTGGCAATTTCTCATTTGACCATCATGATTTTTCATCAGTTTTATTTCTTGTGTGTAAAGCAGAATCTTATACTGATTGGAACCCATCTTTCTTTATAGATCATCCTTCTCCTTTATTTGTGTCAATTTCTTTAAAAGTGCCATTCAGTGGTAGCAAGTGCAGGCAAAGCACCCTCAGTGGGTCCCAAAAAATGTAAGAGTCAGCACATGTAAGTTCAGAACTGTTTACATCTCAGATCAGTGAATACTGTCTGCAAAAGTGAAAAGATTAGTCCCTCAGCTAGTCTTGGAACCCTGCTACCTAACTGTCCAAACTTTCCACCCTGTAATACTGGCCCTGGTGCCATTCCCATTTGGTTCTACCATACACTGGCTACATTCAAGCTGCATGGATGCTCATTTTTGACATCTGTTCTCCAGCTCTAGAAATCTCTTGCAGGAGAACCACCTGTAAACAATAAGGAAAATGTCCACAAATGTGTGTAATGTGAACAGACTTCCTCTCTGATCACATTCCTAAGACGAATGGTTACTAGCAAGGCTTTCTAAGAATCTCACTAAAGATCAAGTCTATCTAGAAATGCAAATTGATTTTAACTTACAGAATTGAGCAAGATGCTATCATTTTAACTAATGTAGCTTTAACTGGCAATTCCATTAGAGTTGGCACTCCTAGTTATCACTTACCCTATGCCTACTAAGACAAACTGAACAAGGTTTTTCAAAATAGAACAGAATCAGGCCATAGATCAAATTGTGATTTGCAGAGTAACTCACAATTCTGGTCAGTTGAGACATATCCTAGAAATCTCTCTCATCTCAAGTATTGCCCCTCTAGTTATGTTTGAATGTTTCAGATTAAATGTTTTGGACTACAGTATCCAGCATTCTTGACCATTGGCCCTTCTAGTTGGAGTTGACAGGAGGTGAAGTCCAAAACACCGGGAGGGCACTAAGCTGGAAAATGCTCATCTAATTTGTTTCTTGAATCCGTGCTTGCTTCCCTTTGCTCTTGCCGCTGGGCTTCTCTTACCTCAGCCAGTTTGTGCTGGCTGCTGAAAGCTTTGTCTCATAACATTTAATATTATTGTAACTCAAAATTTAAATATTTTCCAAAACTATTCTTTCTGCATAGTGTCAGTCACTTCAGGATTAAAAAATATTTCCCATGGTAAAGTCTTTTAAACCTAATCTATTTGTATGATAAATGGACTGTGTAACAGAACTTATTAGTAAGGTCAGACAATTCTGTTCTGCAAATGTTAAAATGTGTGTGTACATGTATATTATGCTACAGAAACAGATAGTATATACAAGATGGATCTCTATTAGTGTAATTACTTGCCTGCTTATTCAGGATATTGAGTGATGCTACATAATTATATGCCCTGTCATTTCAAAAAGTTAATTTCCTGGATTTTACACACACATATACTCATGCACCCACAGCTGTAGCCTTATTTGTAATTCTGGATAGATGCTGGAAGAATAATTGCCACTAAGCAGTGAGTTGACTGATGTTTGCCCTGACTTGTGCTAGAAAACTTATGGAAACGTTTTTCTTTTCTTTTGCTGAAACTGCTCTTACTCTATATAACTCAAGAGCGTATAGCTCTGTATAAGTTGCTGAAGGATTATTTAGACTTTTTCTTAAACTACAGGCATCATTCCCAATACCACAGGGCACACTGCTTTAAAAAGTTAGAGGCATTGCAGTAATAGTTTGCAGTATGCTTAAAGGAACTTTTCAAGGGGAAAAAAACCTTTAAATTCCTAAGTTAATATAAACTTATTACACAGATCTAAGACTTCTTTTCTACCAACATGTACCTATGGTCTTTCCTACACTAATCTGGGTGTGTATAAATCCTTCTGCCTACTGCTTGTTCCTTATAGCAGGATTATATAAGGCACAATAATGTCCACCTGGACTGAGAGGTACAACTAACTACAGTGGCAATAACTGTGGTGCTAATGGTAAGTGTAAAATCAGTTTACACAGCTCTTTGAAATTCAGCCTTTAATAGGGAAACATCCTAATCCAGTAAAATGCCAGGAGCAGAAGTGTGATTGCAGTATGAAGCTGATCCCTACTTCCTAGGTGTCCTGTTGCTTTTAACAGAATAACCAGTGTTACATGTGTGTGTGCACTGTACTAGCTTCTTGATCAGATTAAGCAGAGCAGTTCAGACATGTAGGTCAAGATTGCTGCAGTTAAGTACAGGCGACTAAGAGAAAAACATGTAAAAATAAGGGATTTACAAGTGTGAAATAAAAGCATTTAAAAAGGGTTTACATCACTACCATGAAAATAACATGAAGATTATCATTCTAGTATATCCAATTGATGTATGTAGTGGATGGGAGGGAGGGGGGAATGATGAGAAGAAAGGAAGTTACCTTGGCAGTTTTATAAATACTAGTAGTCAGCTGAGTAACAGGTAGGACCGAATATGTGTTTTAAGTTTAACTGATTCTGTTCCAATAGCACTGCTTCAAAAAATACATGCTTGAAATTTTATTTTTTTATTTTATAAATTGTGTTCTGCTATATTTTGTTGAAGCAACTTGTTTCACAGCAAGTATAACTGTTGAATTAGAGGTTTAATAACATTGGAAACATAACACTAAGGTGTAAATGTCTGTATTTTCATGGCTGATAAAAATGCTTTGTTTTCACTGTTGTAGGGAGTACTAGGGAGAATTTTATTTTTCAATAAACTTTTTAGTGTGTAACTGAGTTGTGTTTTCTGTTGCCTTCCTACAATGTGGGGGGGGGGGGATTGTTGAGAGCTCCAACTTTCTTTTTAAGAATACGACCTGATTTTTCTAAGACTGTATTTAGCAATAATGCAGCACAGTAAGCTAAAAATACAGACTTTTCCTGCGCTCATAACCAGATTATTTTCTTGTTTAGACTGAGCTTCCAAATGCCATAACAATAGTATACCTGGGTCAATGCAACAGGTATTCTGCTATGACAAAGATTCACGAGGTCAGCTTTACCCATGTGAGTGTGATGGCTGGTGGATAGGTTCTTGCCACAAACTGTGTGCCTGAAACAGAACGATGGTAAAAATAATTACAACTTGTTGTCTTTATGTTCCAGGTACAATATGTTACACTGCTTATAGTATATATACCAAGAGCAATCTTTGTTTAACCATAACAAAAACATTGATCCCAGGTTTTTGCTCTTTGAACGGAAAGAGTTTCCACTTGTGCTCACAGAAGTGCTGTCTGAAAGAGAAAACAGGCTGGCCAATATCTTTCTACTGTCTTTACTGCGGTTAGACCTTCTGTAGAAAAATATCTGTACAACCCAAAAGTATGGTGACTATAGTGGACTGAATTGTGCCCAATGTGTTAATACACTAGGGCTTTTTTGATAGATAAAGAGAGGACAAGGGAACTCAGGAATTTTCACTGAATGAAAATGCAAATGCTGCTGCTTTATTAGAAGACTACTCACTTTCCTACTGAAGCTAAGAGTGATATGGCACTTGATGTTCATATGGTAACAACTTGAAGTAAGTGACTCCCCGTGTATTGCTGGCACAATTAAGGAACCTCTTCCATCTCGGAGACTTCGAAGTGAATTTTTAAAATAAACCTTTCTACCATCAGTCTCCTGTTTTTCATTCTGCACACGTAATTATTCTTCTCACTGTGTTATGTGTGAGCAACAACCAGCAGAAAAGGGATTGAAAAGCTGTGCCACTAGATGCTACATACCAACTATATCCAACAGGCGACCAGAGGTGAAACTATGTTTCACGCCATGGAACCTGCACACTGGCTGGAAAAAGTGCTTATATTTGCTAAGTACAAAAGGCTTCACTGATCTCCTTGAAAATGTACCATCTTCATAATGATAGTGCTATGAAGACAAGTTGACAGTGTAGTAAAAACCAAAACAGAATACTTACCACATGTTAAACTTAGGCAAAAAAGCTTCAAATCTGAAAAATGGCAGCAGTAACCTATATTCTACACAAGAAGACTTTTGCAGTTTAATGCTCTATCTACACATATGCTTTTAAAAGGTTAATTACAGGTACTATATAAAATAGGCAACAATTTTATTGATTATACATTATAAGTGTTGTAATTTGTAAATCCCAATTACATAAAATGGTGTGTGGAACATGAATACCTATAGAATAGCCTACGTCTTCACAACTAGAAAGTTCTATTTGGTGAAATTATCACTCTCACTTTTACCAGACAACAGGATACCTGTATTTAGTCATACATACTGCTACATAAGTGCATAATACAATCAAAGACATATAATCAAATTTCAATCTTACTTTTTTTTTTTGGCTTTTGCCTGTATATTAACTTCTTGTGCGTATTTTGTCCGTGCAGCTTAATATACTATACGTGTTGCTTGATATATGTGCATTTCAGAGAATTTTATAAAATAGTATGAAATCAGAACCTCATTCTTGGAATCTGTGAGAACTGCGCAATTTGGGGAACAGGAAAGGGGTGATTATTCAAGATATCATTTGCTGAGGGGTGAGGGCAATTCCATGCATCAAGTGTTGTCTCCTGGCATCCATAACCAAATACGATACACTGATGTGTTCTATACAGAAGAGAGCGACTGAGGTATTGGTGACAATGAACCTAAGGCCATCTCCCATCCCTCTCTGATGGAGTAATCTCTTGCATGTAGAAGCCCCTGGTACAATTCATCTCACATACGCCACAATGATAAAAGCCACCTTTTTAAAATGTCCTTTTCTACAGGCAGCTGTTAAGAGTCTTTAAGAACTCTGGTCACTCCAGAAGCAAAACATGGCAGGTGGATTAGACGTGTGTTCATTTCTATTGTCGCTTCCAGGATTTTAATAGCACACATGAAAGAAAAAATGCTGCTGTTGCTGCTGTTGCTGAAATCTAAGCAGTGCACATATTTGCCTATGTATGCAGACAGACTTCCCCTTGAAAGATAATTAAAAAGAAACCAGACCATGTGAAACAAGTACAATCTTGTAAATACAATTGGCACCACTTGCCCAGTTGTAGAATGTTATTAGATTTTGCAAAATTTATTCAGTCCTAGAAGCTGAGCTGTCTTACTCAAACATTTCATAATGACGTGTTTGCCGTACACGGGGAACCATGTCCATAAGTAGCCTGGAAAGGAAAACACAGATCAATCAAAGGTAACAGGCATAAGTATCAAGCAGAAAAGCACAGAAAGCAGTGCTAGATGTCCTTGATTCTGTCTCTGGAGATCAGTAAACTCACCCACAAAGTGAATCTTACCAGCTGTTATGAATTCTAAATAATGCATTTCATTTCGAACCAATAAGATTTTATAGTAATGAGGTAGTAAAACCAATAGTAAAAAAATAATGTATAACAAGAAAGCTTTCAAGCCTCAGGCTCCATATATCAGCAAACAAGGCACATCTCTCAGCAGCTTTTGATACCATCAGCCTGGAAGCAACTGTCTGAGTAGCCTTCCAAGTGTTGCATTCCTACTTGGAGCACCATCGCCAAGTAGTGGCGCTTGGGGTATTTGATTCAGCCCTGTGGACTCTCCAGCATGGAGCTCCTCAGGGGCCAGTCTGCCCCCAGTGCTAGTTCTCACGTACAGGAAACCTCTGAACAGAGACACCTAGAGTTTCATAGTGGCCATCAGTATGCGGATGACATACAGTGCTATTTCTCCTTTTCATCTCCATCAGGTGAGACTGTGGATGTGCTAAACCAGTGTTTGGCCGCAGCAATGGATTGTACAAGGACTAACAAACTGAAGCTCAATCCAGACAAGACTGAGATGCTGTTGGAAGTTGGTTCCTCTGACCAGATGGAGAGTGTTCAGTCTATTCTAGATGGGCTTGCACTCCCCTTGAAGAAGCAAAGGATATTCTCCTTTATCCAACTTTGTCACTTGAGGTGACACTCAGGTGGCCTCAGTGGTTCGGAGTGCCTCATATAAATCTTGCCTGTTAGCCTAGCTACACCCCTATCTGGACTCTGATGACCTGGCTACAGTAATCTACGCTCTGATGATCTCTAAATTAGATCACTACAATGTACGCTACATAGGCCTGCCCTTGAAGGCTGTTCAGAAGCTGCAGCTGGTGCAGAATGCAGCAGCTAGATTAATAACTGGGTCCTGTGGTAGGTCCAGACCTGTAGGGCCAGTTGTGCCCTGCTTGCACTGACTGCCTCTATACTTTCAGTCCCATCTTAAGGTGCTGGTTTTAACCTGTAAAGCCTGATGCAGCTTGGGACCACAATACTTGACAGAGTACCTCTCCCAGCTACAATCTACCTGGACTCTACACTCAGCATCTGAGGCCTTCATCTGAGTGCCAACTCTGAAGGAGGCTCAGAGGATGGCATCAAGAGGAAGGGGTTTCTCCATTATGGCCCCTCATCTATGGAGTAACCTCCCCACAGCAGGCTTCCTAGAGCCAACCTTGTCACCTTTTGGGTACCAGGTTAAGACAGACCTTTATGCCAAATTACCCATTCCAGGTGTTTTTGTTTTAAAGCATTAGTCTTCAATCTATGCCTTTAGTTGTTTTTGATTTCTTATGTTTCTTTTGATAAGATTTTATGTCATTTCTGTATCCTTTTTATAATCTGCCCAGAGATTATAAAATTGGCTATTGGGTAGTATAAAGTGAAATTAATCATGATGATAGTAATAACAACAATAATAGACAAGGAATAAATTATTTGCATTACCAGATCAGCATGCAAATGTAAAGTAAAAAGAAAAGGAGCAGTTGCACTCACTTGGCTCCGTAAGTAAATATTGTAAGTCCAATTAGAACTCCTATACTCCCATCCAGGTACCAAACAGCAGCATTGTGCTTAAAAACTTCTGCACTTAGAAGGATAGAGAATCCCATTATTCCTCCTACCAGAGAGTTGAAACCTGAGATGAAAAGTATACATTAAGACTTGGCCCACCACTCATGTTCACAGGTGTGAAGATTTAGGTGCACATTACTACAGTGACAAGAACGAGTGCACATTACAGTAAAAAAAAAAATCCATCCATTAAATGTGTTCTTACATCATTACAAGTTCATGGTTCCAATCCTTCAATAACCCTAATGCTTAAAGTAAAGAAACAAACAGGATTATTTGCAAAACTGGGAAAAGCAGGAAATTTTAGCATGTGTCACTGGCTGGCTAATCTTCTTCCCCACCTCCAGCACATGTGGATTATGCTTTTAAAAAAGAGTAAGTACAAAATCAAAATGCTACTTTTTATTCTACAACTAACTGCAAACCACTCCATTCTGTTGTTTTCCTACCAGCTGGGCTGGCATCTGACCGTTCCCCATTCATGCTGTTCCGCTGTAGTATCACCCTGGCGTAAGCATGATATCCCAACCTTCCAGCCTGCTCCTGCCCCCATGCCTGGTGGACCCATTGGCGGTGCTGCCATTTGCAGCTGCTGGCCCCCCGGGGCAAGAATGTACACAATGCTCGGTCACATGCCACATTTGCTTTGCCGGTTTCATAGGCTGCATTTGGCCATAACAGTAAACCATCGCGTAGCATGAAGGTAATGCAGCCCTGGTTTAGGTGTTTTGGAACATACTGAATTCGGTGGGCTAGCTTGGTCAGGCCATCTGCTTTCCAGAATAAAAAGCACTAGCACTGCAACAGACCTCCAGGCCTGCAGAGTTAACATGACAGATGTGCAAACATGGCAGATGAGAAAAGGGGGATGCTTGCTGCCAAGGAAAAGCCTATTAATGCTTCTAAAAACAAGTGAAAGGTACATGTGCGCTCTCATGGCTGTTGGCAGAATGCACGTTTTTGGAAAAAAAACACCTACTAAAAGAAGCAAGTACACTGAAATGCTGTAAGAAAATGGGAAGCCCTGTTTTCCATTTAAAAAGAGAATGTCCTGGAATCGAAGAGTTCCTCCCATGGAATCCAGCAGAAGCATCCTATCGGAGACCGTCTCCAATGCCCCTTCCCTGCGTGTCCGTTTGCGCCAGCATCTCATTGTTCCAGATGGTCTGATCACTTCGGGAGCCACAGGGCTTGGGGCTTCTAGTGGAAAAGAGAATCTCTACAATGCGGGGAGGAAAGCCCTGCGAGAGGAGTACCACTCCTACAATTCAGCACTAAGGAAATAATTGCATATTCCAATAGTCACACATTATGGAAGAGAAAGACGCTTAATAAAAAACATTAAAATGATTTTGAAAGCAAATGCAATTTTTTTAAAGGCCAAAAAATCTCTCGGCTGGGGAAGGGGGTATCATTTGTATCTTTTGTCATCAATGGTATCACTGAACTGTCCAAGAAGTGCCAATGTGAGTTGTACATTTTACAAACAAGAGCTTAACTGTAAACTAATAAGAGGGCGAGGGAGGAAACCTCCTGGTAAATGGAGCTTTTATGTAGTGCAAGGGCACCATCCTCCCATCAAAAGAAATAGAATCCTTTAGAAATCTGATAATTCAATTTTGTTTTTCAGGTTCTGGCCACAAGGTGTCAGTATGATGACATCTCACTTCTACTGATACCGACCCGACAGTGCATGGTAAAATGCCTCTCTCCTCAATGCTTGGCATTTGTTTAATATGCATGATGCATCGTGACATATGTCAAAACCATCCCTCTTTAAAAGGAACAGAAGAAACCGCAGCACCAATGTAACCTACACCTGCAGAGACTGCATTTTCATGCCCTTATGTGCAAAAGAAAGTCAGATTTTTAAGGATCTGAAAGACTAACCAGATCACCCACAACACAGGAGATCAATAAACTGATTTGCTAACATTGTGTAGATGCCCAAAGTAAAGAAAGTGAACAAATGTGGCTTTTTCTACAGTGGCTGCCTAGAGTAAAGGCTATCTTGGGTTTCCTGTAATAAGCACTCCACGAGACTCCTGTGAACAAGTTGTCCTCATTTTCTTTCAAATACCTTCTTTGGCTTACTTTTGCCTGGGTTTTGTGGTCACTGTACCTTACTGTCACTGTGCTACATCCATAATTAGGTTTCTCTAAATTCCTTAATTTCTGTGTATCTCATAAATACCTGTGGGGTAGGGATATTTCTGTAAATCCAGGAAATTCATTCAGAGGTAGAAATTCAAGAAATCAGTTAATGTATACCAACCAATCATCTCCTCTGTATAATTTAATCTGCTCATATACTACCTGTGCCCACATTCATCTCACTAACCCATAACTTGGTACCATCATAGCAAAACACAGAAGAATATCGCATTTGCTACTCACCATCAGTTAATAATGCTCTGCTTGTTAGCACATTCCCCAACATAAATTTGATCACTGCCAGGATGGTGCACAGGATTCCACTTAAAATGGAAACACTATATAGGAAGTCATCCTGGAAAACAAAATGGAAACAATATCATGTGCCATTTTGCCAAACGATCTAGAGTTGTCAAAGAGATACCCCTGTGAATGGCACTGAAAGTAGCACGTGCGATCCATACACGACTTTCCTGCCTCCTCCATCTCTGCAAGTGGGGATGCATCCCTTACCCACCGTGACATGCGAAAGGAGAATGCTCTCGCTCCTGCTCTCTCTGCACAACTTTCTTATGCAGCTATTAAATCCTAAGTGTGAAAAGCAGCTGGGAGAATCACAAGCTCATTTCTGCGCTTATAATAATAATAATAAAGTCAATCAGAATCAATGGCAGTAGTTGCAAGGTAAGTAGCTAGGACCTGAGCTGTGAGTTCTACCCAGAGAGTCATACAGGGGAGACTCTTTCAGGTGGTTTTGCAGAAGGAGAAAGTGGGGAGATGGTCTTTTTTCTTTCCTCCGTGCACTATACTCCCAGGAACCCCTAGCTCTTCATATCATGGCCACAGCCCCTCACAGGCTCCGATTCAGTGCTGGCAGCCAACCTCAAAAACCTGAGCTCTCCAGTACTGGATACAACAGCCGTGCCAGGCTGCAGAGGCCAGGAAGGGGAAAAGGGCACAAAATGATTCTGTTGGTCCACTGCAAGCACTTCAGCAGAACAACTCCTCTTAGGGGGTGACAATACACTGCAACATTCTGCTGCAGACTCCACCTGCACTACAGATGTCTCAGTCTAGAAACAGGTTTCCTACAAACGTTGATGTAATGAATCATCTTTTCCATTTTCCATTTTTAAAAAATATATTGCTGCCTAGTTCTTGCAAATAATAATGGAACATTATTTCCAGCCCCCTACAAGCAAAGAACTGAATAAAAAGAATGCAAGGAGGAAAAAAGAATGCAAGGAAAAGAGAGAATACAGTTTTCCCATGCTTGGAGCAGCTGTGTTCAGACATATCAAGCCACGGTGGAAACCACATGGAATGGTCTGCTGTGTTGGGTGAACCCTGTCCAAGACTTACTGTGTGATACTTTTGCTTTCCATGGAAGCATGCAATGGACTGTTGCATGGTTTCCACACATTACTAAGGCTATGGACTCTGTGCAGATGCCACAGAGCCCAGTGGAAAGAGGCACTCCGGCCTGCATCCTCTGCTATTCAGATCCGCCTAGCAATTGGTGCACCAGTCCAGCCACACTGACTGGCTGCTCCATGTCCCTTCCCACCTCTGGCTTCTCGCTGGCCTTCCAGATGCCCAGGAATGTTGTTGCCAGTGGCGATGTCTCCCACGTGACCTCCTGCAGCAACCTGGGAGACAGCTGCACTGGGCTTTCCTGTCTGGTTGCGGTAGTTCCACAAACACCACTGGTGTGGTGCTCTGCCACTACTTTTCTGGCAGAAGCATCGCCTCCCTCATTGCAAAGTTGTATTCACACAAGAGGAGCACGTGGGCTGCGTACAGGGCATTGCAACAGGGCAGAGGTGCCAAAAAGCTCATGTGCCACCCTCATCCCTGGCACTCCTTGAGACTGTCAACAAGCCCTGCTACCTACTCCCCGCACAACTTGAGCCCACTGACACCCAGCACTGCCTGGGAAGAGGCAGGGGGAATCCACACTCGATCAGGGGGAACTACCCCTGGAAGTTCTGCTGGTGGTCCTGTGCCTCTAATCCATGAGCCTGACAGTGGGGTGGGGGGGAGCAGACTCTTGCAGCACGTGCGAGGGGGGAATGTGGACATACCTGCCGCATGGGAGTGGGTGGGGGGGTTCCACACGGGCATGAAGCGCAGGGAAGGGGAAAATGCTACTCTAGTGAATAACAGTTGCTTCAGCTGAGCAGAAGAAATGGAAGACAGCTGGCTCAGGACATCTCCAGGGGCTGTGTGGGCCAGTGAGGGAGGAGGAGGCCAGGCAGGCAGGAGCGGTGTAATGGCATTGAATGCCAGCCACGGAGGCTGCTGGGAGCCCTGCAGCCCTTGGGAAGAATGTGGGAGAAGGGTGGGAACCTCACCCGGTAAGAAACTGCATGGCAAGGTGCAGCATCATGTGTGAACAGGTAAGTGGAAATCTCTTACAGAAATCCCTGCAATACTATTGTTCCTCCACAGGCTGGTGCTACTGGCCTCCACAACTGAACTCAGCTTCTTTGCTCTGCTCTGCTCTGCAAACCAATAATCTCCTAAGATTCACCCCACCCCCCAGGATGTACCCTGAGTCCCTGATGAAGATTTAATTGGTCCTGTCCAAATCATACTCTGGAGGCCAGAACACATTAGTTGAATCAAGTTTAGGCTAATGCTTTTCACAAGGTTCTGCAGACGTTTATTGTGCACCATGAATCAATTGAGAAGAAGAAGAAGAACGAGTTGTGTCAAGGAGGAAGAGGAGTCCTTGTTGCAGAGATGAAAACCAAATGAAAACTGAGTGGTGGGATGACTACAGTCTGTGACAACACTGCACAAGCCTCACCATGGTTGCATTTGGTATGAATTATTAGTGTTCCAAATTAATTCATCTTCCAGAAAAATGATCAGAGGGGACAGTTGAATACAGTGCTAAATTAATAAAATAACTCTGACCATCTGCTGCCATATCCCCCAAGACCTCTCCTCTTTAATGCCCTGTATTTTCTACTTTCCACTGTCTCTGAAAAATACTACATAAAAGAAACATGTCGCTATTCGGCTTCATGGTTTACTGCCTCACTCGACTATGTTAATGAGAAACACCGCTGAATTATAAAGAGAAGATTAACATTTAAACACAACACTTCCATCATCTGGTGAATTATTTGTGTTTGAAATGAATCCATCAAGTTTTTGCTTCCTAGTTCTTCAATCATGCAGAATGGATGTTAATCTAAACATCCATGTGCCACCGCCATCCAACCCCAAGCATCTGTGCCAGTGTATTTGCTTTCAATGTAGTACAGCATCAAAGCAATATGAATTGATTATATTTTAAATTTCACTGTAACATTATACCAGCACAGGCTCTGGTAAACCCAAATACTAGTGTATCAGCTGTAATCAAATTAAATTTATGCACAAAAGACGGGAAGACAATGTTTCTGATTATTATTTCAAATCCTTGTATGAATCCCTGAACCACTCCAGGTCCTATGCATCTATTGTTCCTTTAGCACAAAGAAACATAATGGATTAAAATATGTTTATAAATTTGAATATTTTATATCCTTTAATTTTTGTAAACTCTAAATATATCACCTCAAAGTATTCTTGTTATCCTAGAAGTCACTTACACTAGCACTATGTCAATTGCTTAAGGGCATAAGGAAAGTGGCCAAGATCATATAAACGCTTCAAATCCAACATGTTAAAATAGAAACTAAATAAAAACAGCAGCACAAACCAATCCAGACTATATAGAATTATATAAGCAAGGCTTCTTTCTTGGTGGTTAATAAGTTTAGAATATTACAATGATACATGATTTCATAGCAAGAAATCAGAAAATGTCTGAAAACAAAAGCAACAGCCATGTTGACAGAAAGGCAGATAGGCAGACAAAGGTAATTCTCTACTCTTGAACTGTAATATCTGAAAATAAAGACAGAAATACTGCAGGTATCTCCTGGGAACAAAGTCACAAAGTCAAATCAATAGAAACGCTTATCTATTATTGGGGAGAAGGGCGTGGTCTTGTTTGCTTGTTCTTTTCCTCTATAGCTCTGCAATGACTGAAATGCAGCAAGAAATGTAATCTCGACAGACATCGCGCCATACTGGCAAGTATAGCTCATATAGTGCACTCCGAGAGTCACCATGGAAACCTATGCATTTCAAAGAGTAGGCAAGAGCGGCCCTTGTGGCGTTCCACGGCTGGGAGACAAGATCCTAGCGGTGGTTTTGTACAAACGGCCCTCATGTCTAGATGAAGAGTACATTGTCGATGGCAATCTGACCTTCCCAATAGAGGGTGCTCTTTAGTATAATAAGAATGCACAGACAAGTGGCAGCACATCCAGCTTCTTTCCAAACTGCTTAGTGCTGAAGCACCATGGAAGCATTAGCTGAATAAGCAGGAAACACGCTCCTTCAGGAGCAGAGTGTGGGGATGTTCTTCCAAGAGTGCTTTCTTCTTGCTGCTGCACTGAATTGTGCCACATCGTGCCCTAAGAAGGATGAACCCTGAAAACATGAGTATGAATTAAAACTGGGGCTATAGAAAAGTTTCCAGTAGTTCAAGGGGTAGTCATAACATAGTTCAGATTCTCCTGAAAAGTCCTTGATTTGCACCTTCCACATTGTTTAACTATAGCAACTGCTAAATCGTGTATTTAAAAAGATAAAGTAGGCTGCTGAATAAGGCCACTTGCAGAGAAATTAGGAGTGGATTCTTGAATAAACTCAGTTCAGGTGTGGGTATTGGAAATGAATTCCTGGGTACAGCAGGTGTTCAGATATACACTTTTCTTTCAAGAATTCTTCCTCCTGAGCCACTACTATGAACTTGCTGTGGTTGGTAGACCTCCAGGTTCCAGTACAAAGCAAAACAAAAGCCAAAAGTGCATTCTGCAAGCCTACAGTGCTTCTGTGGTGTGGAGTAGAAAGTATTGGACTGGAAACTGGGGATCTAGGAGATCCAAGTTCTAGTCCCCATTCAGGGAGCAGAAGTGTTAGCATATGCCTTTGTTGCAGGTCGTAAAGAGGTGAAGCCAAGGGTGGCCCAAGTTCGACCAGCGCGCTCTCAGGATGTATTGGTTCAGTTGCCATATGAGGCAATCTGTGGCGGCGCAGCCAAGGATGTCAGCCAAGGTGTTGCTGGCGCCTGTGATGTGGGTCGCCATAAAGGTGGTACCCCTGTTGGTGCCTCAGGTCCAGATGTTGGTTCCCAGACACAGTAGGGAATTGGCCTAGTGCCCCTTGCTTGTTGAGGTCATAGATCTGTGTTGCATTGTCAGAGATGATTTGGAAGTGTTGGCCAGAGAAGATGTTTTGGAATGCAGCAAGGGCCTTCCGGACCACAAGCATCTCCAGGTGGTTGATGTG